TTCATTATGGATACTCCACAAAGGGCAATCAGATCGAGTTGCAGCTCAAGTGAATCATATGTTTATGGGTGTATCTTCTCTTGTCAACCCTTGCTTCCTTCTTTCTTCACTCTTCTCTCGTCCCTCCGCAGGTCACCCCACATGTCTGCAGTTCACCGACAACATGATGCAGGCGGTGAGGACGTACCAGTGGCAGTGCATAGAGTGCAAGTCCTGCAGCCTCTGCGGCACATCAGAGAACGATGTATGTAAACTGTCGAAGTCTTGTATATCCCTCTGTGGCTAGATTCCCCTCTGAATTTGCTTTGAAGAGCACCAAATTTGACATGTTTTCCTTTTAGTGTTGTGACCTTTCTACAGCCTGTCAAAGCCAATCAGATATTATAGATGATAGCTCACCCTTGATGTGGGTTTTACTTTTGTCTCATAGGTTTTATAAGAGTGAAAAATCTGATCATAAATTCATTCGATAGCCAAATTCAGTATGTTTATTTGAGTGCTGTAGCACAGTTTAGTATAATTCCAATTCAGAAAGACGTAAAAAAATAGTAAACATAAAAAGCAATAGTAATGTTAACACTAGAAAGGTATAACAATTGTGTTTTTCATGCACTGGTCAAAATATCTTTGGCTATTTTGCTTCCATACATGCCTTCTTTCAAATTTGTGAAAAAGAACTACCAGCAGCTCTAGAAAAAAATGTCTACAATGTTTCTGTTTGTGTAGATTTCTTCTAAATGTCTTAATGGTTAGAAGTTTAATGGCAATATCTATTTGCTTAATTAGTTAAATACTCAACATATTGCTGCATGTTATTTACACATTTCTTTGACAGATGTAGAAGTTTGGGCATACATCGGAAGGCTAAGCCTCCATGGAGCTTAATTAACTGTCCCATGTTTTTAAGTGCTAAAACATTATCCGTGTCACATATATAGAGGTATGATTTATTACTCCGACATGAATAACCTTTACAAGCAGGTTCAATGTTTAATATTCTGCCCCCTGTAGTGCCTGGACATATGCTACAGGTAATATATATAGTTAAGTTGATGATATGTCTTCTTTTACAGGACCAGCTGCTGTTCTGCGATGACTGTGACAGAGGATACCACATGTACTGCCTGAAGCCCCCAATGACCAAGCCTCCAGAAGGTGCGGCTCTCAGAGTTTTTATTATACATCAGCGTGTTGATACTATATATGTCATGTACTGTATATATGAAGGAGGCTACAACCAAAGGCTATAAATGGAAAAAGAGCAAGTAGTACAAAGATTGACCCTCTTTCTTCTGTCTCTCTTCACAGGGAGCTGGAGCTGTCACGTATGTCTGGACCTTTTAAAAGACAAGGCCTCCGCCTATGGAGAAGCATAACTTCCATGAACATTCTCTTCAAATCACACTTACACACACAATTTATATATATTTGTACCTATACATTAACTGTTTGACAAACCCACACTTTAGCAAACACTTCTCTCAGATATAATCAAAAAAACACACTCCAGTGCATTAGCCGGCTCAGAGCAGTTTCCTGTCTGAGGCGCGAAGACCTTTGACCTCTCATGTAGCCGAGCAACACTCAAAAAACGGCATCAACATGCAACCTCGACCATCAGCTAGCTGCAGGTTTGCCGTTATAGGTTATTTCTCTACCTCACCACTCAGCAGACGGCAAGAAGCCAAAGCAAGATTGATAACGGCCAATACTGTGCAGTACAAATACTCATTTTAAACCAACCTCGGATGTTTTCACTCCTGATTTAAATTGTATTCTGAAGATTTGTTGCAGGCTTTTCTGCTTCAAGCTGTTGTCACTTGCTTCCCTTTCTGCTCAAGCTCTACAGTGAGTTTGACTGATGTTTGTTTAACTTCTTCCTCCCAGCTCTACTCCTCTCCTGTGTTTAGACTTTGCCGTTTCATATCTGGACAGACTCAATGTTAGCTATGCCATCTTTCACAGGTTTTTGTCATGCTTTGTTAAATTTATATCCTGCGCTGGGAGGAAACAGGGCGATAAAACAGCCTCTGCTATCATTCCTGTTGGAGCGTGGTGACATTTCTAATCCACGTCTGCTTATTGTATCCTCGCCGTTACTAGGATACACTGGTGCTAAATTTGACACTTTACAAAAATTATAGCATTTCTTTGCATGGAATGTTATTATTTATTTTTCATTTTAATGGTCCAATGTTACTGTCAAATAGATCATTGTTACTGTAAATCAGTGGTTCCCAAGCCTTTCATGTAATCTCCCCCTTGTGGAAGCCAGCATAAAAACATCGGCCCCTTAACCAAAACACATAAATTCATGTATTTTAAATCAACTGGTAACAATACCGGCAAAGTAATAAAAAGAGGAGCCTGAAATATATTAAAATCGTATTCATATCAACATAAACTTCATATTCTCAGATGTTCCTATTATATACTGGTGTTCAAATTATACATATAAATACAATTCCTTCCAAAAAGTATTTACACTCTACAACTACTACTGTATTAACAGGGAATTTAAGATTATGTTTTTTTATATTTTGGATTTGACTGACAGAGCCTCACTAGGTATTCATTTCTTTCTGTCGAGTCTATTCATGTTTTAGGTACTGTACACGTTGTCACCTGCTCCATACACCTGGGTTGCTGAATCTTGAAAGCATCAGAGCACTGCTATTTCTTTTTCCCCCCAAATGAATCAATCTCATTCATAGTTTTTTTCCCCCACAGCAGTTGGTTTAGAAAAGCACAGGACGAACTAATAGCTATTTTTACAGCAAAACAATTTACTTTTCACTAAGCCCCGCCTCCCTGAGTAACTTTCTATTCTATTAGCATAATATTACTTCCGGTCTGTCAAGCTTCTTTCTAATCGCAAAACAATGAGCATTTGTTTTTCTGATTACAGGTTGTAGGACAATTTTAGTTTATCTTGGAACATATTAACAGTTTAATATAGTCCTAAACATATGAGTCATGTATTTTTGTACATACTCAATATGGTCCTTACAGGTACCCAGTAACAGTTGCTTAACCGTGATTGGACAATTGCTTTTGGGGGGAGGAGTTTAGTGAACAGCCAATAAAACTGTTGCACCTTTGTTTGTCATTTCAAAATAATTTGCTGTGAAGAGAATTATTTACGTTTTGGTTTTCGATCGCTACATTAAATGTGTACCCCCTGCAGTGCCCCTGTGCCCCTCCAGAGGGCCCCACCTCACAGTTTGGGAACCACTGCCTCAAATCAACCAGGGCTGTGTGTGTATTATCAAACCTTGATTCATGACTTTTGTGAACAGACAGTGTGGTGAATCATATACATGTCCTTAGGACAGAGTATTTACTAGTGAGCCCTGGAAGTGAAACAGGTTATATAAGAATTTATTAAAGTTTTTATGCAGTTACAGTACGACTGTAATGTAATTTTAGACATGTTGGATTAGTATTACCAAGTGAGTAAGAGTTGATATGTTAAATTGGTCACGTATCTTCGATGCCACATCAATTTAATTTATGTTTTTTGTACTGAACTAGTTTAAGTAGCACTAATCTAATAATCATTCAAAAAAAGAGGAACCACCAAGAATAAGCTCCAAATTAACAGATAAAGCCCTTAAAGTACACACAGTGTGCAGGCCTTCATATGATATCACAATCTGCATTTGTGTTTTTTTTTTATTGTGAGTTTTTGTATTTGATATTGCTTTTCCACAGACAATCATGAGCTAGAATAGATACAGTACATGATGTTAATAATATGCAGAGGGTTTTTATTGTGCTCCTCCATGGCGGTATAATGACCCTTTGCGTCTTCCTTTTAAAAATGTCTTAGATGTCATTTTTTGTGATGCCATCACCTACAGTGATTCAACATGTGTGTTGTATTTTGTTAAAGTAAATGTCATGTTTTGTGTTGAAATAAATACTTTTTCATTAACCCTGTTTATTTTTAATGTTATCTATTGGATTCCACTTATGTTATATTCACAGAAATACTATTTGCAGTGTTTCTGTTCCCGTTCAATAATCAATTTCCAGGAAACTGAAATGTTGTGTATCCAAATTGAAAATAGGCTTTCAGTGTTTGTATGGAAGATGGCTGCATCTGATATGAATCGAATATAATCTAAAGGACATCATTCTCCCCAAAGATATGGCCTCTCTGTTTGCCTTTTAGCATAATGTGTGGATGTTTTCTCCAGGAATACAAAATAACTTAATAATCGGTTACAAGCATGTGAATTTCATTTGCAGACAACAAACAGATTGTGTCAGCTTTTAGCAAAGAATTTTATATTATAATATTATAGGTGTTATTTCTAACATGTATGTCATCAAATAGTGGGAACTTTACAAGGTTTTGTACTTCGCCCATTGACAATCCACGCTAGGTTAGAACTTACATCAAATTACCACAAGGAGGCGCCATTGGGATAGAATAGAGCTCTTGATGGTCTCTGTCCAAATGATATAACTCATATACGGAAAAGGATTAGGGCCACATGAGAAATAAATGTTGGGATGTTACATAAAGAAAAAAAAATGTTTTAGTTCTCATGTGGCCCTAATCCTCTTAATTGGTTAACACTGATTTTTAAATTGTAACAAATGAATTCATGTAATACAACTGTACACTAGTTTATTTATTATACCAATGCATCATCATTTAGAAAACTAGTTTCATGTTTTTTTTGTGGAGTAAAAATTAAATGTTTCCTAATTTCTTTGGTTGAATACAATTATTTAGAACATAAAAATATTAAAGTTGTGTAAAAATATATTTTCTTTTTTTAGAGAAGTGTTGTAAATGTACTTGTTTACATGCCCCTACTGCCATAGCCCCACATACAGTATACATCCTGTAGTTGTCCTGGTATAAAATAATGTCTTGATTGCCGTTGGATAATAGATGTTCTCTTTGCATATTCAAACCAGTGTTTTTCTGTACCACATATTACTATCATTGAATGTCCAATGACAATGAGTATAGCATAATGGTAATAGGTTTGTTGAGGCTTTATTGTGGAACACATATTCACAAGAACAAAAATATAACAAATCAAAACAGATTCTTTAACTTTCAAATGAAAAAAGTCATTATGACTTATTCATTCGAATTGATTTCTCTCTGTATCTCAGCAGCTCGTAGCCATTCCTGTGACGATTGAAAGGAAAGTGGTTGTAGCGAATGTGGGATCCAGTAAGAGCTGCCCGAGCATCTCTCTGCCTTTTTCTCTTGTGGTCACTGAACACATGGCACCTTTCCAGTAAGTCACCAGTCTCCCACCTGGTAGATTACATGATCATGGTCATTCTTAGAAACTCACGCATGCAATAAAGAAGGCTACATTATAATGTAATATAATGTGTGTCCTACCCAGTAGAGTGTTGGCTCTGGACATCCAGGAGAAGATAGAAAGTGAATGGTTTTCATCCGTACTCAGATCGGCTATGTTAGGCGCTTGGTCATCCTCCTAGTTGCATACATTTGACAAAAAACAGGAATTGGGTAAATGAAGAGGAATTTAAAATGTATATATATTTAAGGGTTGGCTGCAATTGTAGTGACGTACCTTTAAAATACGACTTGGAAGAGGGGTTAGGAACATTGCAGAGTTTGCCAAGTTGGATTGGAAATGTGCTGCAGAAACGTATTCGGCTGAGTTTAGCCAGTTCTTAGCAAACGACAACTCTACAGCGGAGAAGTGGCTCTGCCTGGAGACAACAGACAGCTTATTGGCTTTGTTGCCACAAGTTAAGAAAAATGATACCACTCTCTAATACCTTTCTGACATACTGTATGTTAAGCTAGATCAAGCTTAGCTTTGTTTAGTGTAAAGTTTAAGAACAGAGAGGAACAGCTGGACTGTTTTGAAAGTCACTCATTGTCCGCCATTTTATGTGAAATGTGATTGATTGAATTCTGTGTTTTTTTACATATCTTTCATGGATTAAACAAGACTAAAGCGTAAGAGTAATGATTGAGCTTTAGAGCTGCTGCTGGTAGTTTTTTGTAGCTTTAAATAGAGTCCAGCTAGCTGCTTCCCCACTGCAGCCAGTCTTTATGCTAAGCTACACTAACTAGCTGCAGCCTTTATTTGAAAGAAAACCATGTCAGTGGTATCTTGTATCTTATCATCCAACTCTTAACATTTAAGAAAGTCTTGAGAAAAGTGTGTGATATCCAAAAATGTCAAACTATTACCTGGCATTGCATGCAGCAGAGGCATGAGTTGAAGCCATCTGTGCTTCCCAGTAGAGGCCGAGGAGAGAGTCTTTCTTCTCATTTTCAGGGAGAGGGGAGTCAGTTGTAGCCTTGAGACCCTTTAAACACACACAGACAACATTAGGGAGATACTCCAATGGGTTGCTGAAGACAGGCTATTATTAATCTAAATGAAACAGTGTTCACTAGTGCATCGCTTCATAAAGATGTTTATGTGGATTTGTTTGTGTTTGTAACTCACATACCTGGAAAAAGGCATCCCATTTACCCATGGCGTCAGGGTAGCGACTCAAACAATCAGCATATGTGGTGCAATAGTCCAGTACACCTTCAGGTACCTGCATCTGGACCTAATAGTATCAAAATAAGTTATCATTACAATCATATTCATCATGATCAAAATATCCCAACTATTAGCATGCTACAGTGTGAGAGAAAAAGCTCTCAATGGAAATCCATGAATGCTGCTTTTATTGTCTTCTTTTAGCCATGCTAGCCCTCTTAGGATTGCTTTGATGATACAGACTGAAATATCTCAACAACTATCACTGGCATTTACCTGAAGTCCGTCTCCCATGAAGCCCTGCTGTGCGGCAGACAGGAAGGGCAGTGCAGAGACAAAGTAGTTCACACCTGGATGAAAAAGAAGTGGCTTGGTTTATGCTAGGTTTTCTATGTGTATGTACTGTATGTATAGTAGGTCCGTGTTTGTCAAACTTACAGCTCCACCAGCTCTCAGTAGAAATGCACATAGTATCTCCTGTTTGCAGGCCGCAGGTTGAAACACCGGTTGGGTCAGCAAGACGCCCTGCAGATACAAATTGTACATAAGGCCATCAGTTTGTGTGTCGATGGTGGCAGCTGGTGGCAATCTGTTGTTATGTTTGCTCATTATAGGACTTTGTCTTAGGAATTACAGTAGGTTATTTATTCATTATATTGGTGAAAAGATTCGCTATCCACTTTCACCTTGGAGAAGGAAACAAACTAGTAAGTATTTTCCTCCCCAAAAAATATTTGTTTTCTTACCTGAGGTTAGCATCCATCCAAGTTGCAGTGGAAGTCCCCAGATTGGACTGTCTGTGGCATTTGTCCCCATGGATCCCATAAACGGGTCTGTGGCAGCTATCATCAGTCGGTAAAGACTCATACGGTGAAGGAAGTGCCATGGGTCGGGATTCAGGATGTCATTCTGTACCGGCAGGTCGGACAACTGGCCAGCCGTGTGGACCCAAAGGACGGGCATGCCATTCTCTAGAATTACGGCAGAGCTGCTAAGAGACACAGCACATGCCAGGAGGAGGCCGAGGACAGCGGGACGCAGCATGACTGAGGATCTGGGAGAGGGTACTGACACTTCAGTCACATAAAAACAGGTATTTTATACTTGAAATGTTCTGACCCGCATGGAGAAATCACGTGACATGGTTCAATGGACCCTCAAAGACAGACAGATAACATGATGTGTGTACATACTGTTCAACACTATCCAAATACTCAGTTACCTAAATTCACTCCTATATAACAACACCCACACACACAAAATCAAAGGTAGTTCTATATTGTACTGTTATTGTACTGTTGTTGTCAATTTGAAATAAGACAACAACAGAGAGCTAACAGTCAACTCAACAATCAGACTTGATCCAATCACCCACAATAATGTTTTTCACATCTAAAAAAAGATATGAGAATCTTATCCTATTCAAAATGGCCCATGTAACATCCCCTTGTTATGCAGTTCGATTAGGTCACTTGAACCCAGAGAACTTTGATGCAGATTGAAAACAAGATAAAACCAATGTCCTATCGGTCAAGAGGTAAATCCACATTGTGCAGATGTGAATGACCACAAACTGTGTGCGAGCTGACGCTGAGATCACAGAAATCACTATTTCACAATTGCATAATGTTCCGTGCATGGCAGGCCTTCAAGGTGGTCTTCAAGCGGGGGAAACATGATGATGTGCTTTCTAGGTGGGACATCTATTGGAGAAAATTGGAGGAATTTTCCTATAGGCGGGCTTTCCAGGCGAGAAAATGTTTTTTTTTTTATATATATCTGTTGTAATTTATTGTCTTTTATTGTGTTTGTAGTAATGTGTTTTTATTACATGTACAGCACTTTGGCTCGACCAAAAATCGCTTTTAAATGTGCTTTATAAATAAAACTTGATTTGATTTGATTTGAAATGTCCTCTTGTGTGTCTATAAAATATAAGGCTGTGCCATGTAGGCTGCCCTATGTGTTATAAATCTTTCTAAGTGCTGTTGCACCATCAGCTGTTTTCCCCTGCCCTCAGACAGCACACATATCATAATGGTATCCTAAATTGCACTTATTAGGGCGTTCAAAGATGTTCAAAACATCTCTGCGTCTTTTGGACTTACGTCCTTATCCAAGGTCAACAGGTTTTTCATACAAGGCTGAAGCCAAGATTTAAGAGAAAATAGTCAATCATCAATGTCCCCAACAAAAAAACCTGAACTCTGAACCAGAGCAACAATTGTATAATTTAGCTTCTCTGATCAGGTAGAAATACGAGGTTACAAATAAAAAAGGATACCTTTTATGTCCTCATTATGCAGGTATTTTAATTATGATATTACAGATATGCGTTTAAAAACAAGCAGCATTTTCATATTGCTTAAATTTGAGCTGGTGCTAATACCAAGAACCATTTTAGTGTTTTGTATTTTAATATAAAAAAATGCTGTAAAAAAAGAAAAACTGATATTTTGTAACTCAAATATTTTATGTACAATTAGTATAAAGCAGATATAAACGAAATACTCAAATAAAGTAGGGGAGACCAGGGACAGTTGTAACACTTTTTGGGTTTTCCTCAATAAGTAAAAAAACATTTACACTAGGATAGCCATTTTGCTATATTATACATTCTCAATGTATCAACTACTGAAACAATGTATTTAAGTGTTTTTATGAAATAAGTACAGGTTGGAAAATGTATTTAAATACAGTCACTCAACTGTTACAACCATCCCAGTGTACAGGGACGGTTGTAACACATGCCAGGGAACGTTGTAACATGTTAATAACGGTTATCTTTTTCCCCACTACATGACAAAAAAGAGGGAAAGCTGTCAAATTCTAAGGCAACAAGATTTTAATGGGGTTTCACACATCCTCCAACAAACAATGAACAGAACTTAAAACCGAACACCAGATGGAATTAATCTGATTCACAGTTGTGGCAGGTGTAAAAGTCACTTCCATCTGTGCAGTCCTTGTGTGCCCAGGCTTTACAGGACCAACAGTGCAGCCAGATCTCCTTGGACCTGAGTAGCTCTCCAGGCACACAATGCAGTATTGAGCTTCATCTTCATCAGATGAGTCCTGAATCTCCTGCTTCTCTTTGGGTTTTTTGAAGAAATTCATTTTTCTCTTCGCTTTAGACTTTTTTTTTCTCAGCCTCGAGTTGATTTTTTATAGTGTGTGTCTGTGAGGACAGCGGTTTATTTTCTTTTTCTCCCCTTTGTGGTCCGTGTTACAACGGTCCCAGGACCACCAGTCATGTTTTCACCCCCTGTGAACCTGCCTGATTGCTAGCTTGACCCATATTTAGCTAGTTATATTTTTAGCTTACAAAACAGTGATTCTAATAATACTAGTTTGGATTCCTAGACATTTGACATGACCTCAAGACAGTATCCAAAAAATACATAATTGTTGTTAATTTTTTACCTCAGAAACACACTTTTGCTGATATCTTTCGCGAGAGATTTAAACGTGGCTCCTTTTTTTCACAGCGATCTTTTGATCTAACTGAGCATGTGCAGAGTGAGTTTCATCACTCTAGCTTGTTTGTGACTGGAGATATTGAAGGCGTTACAACTGTCCCGTGTTACAACTGTCCCTGGTCTCCCCTACATCGTTACTTTGGCAATATTGGAGCACTGTCCATTTAAGATCTTTTAGATCACATTTATTAATCTAAATTAATTTGTTGGCTGAGGGAGGCATCACGTTTTGTAATAAGAAATACAACTGTTATTTCACTTTCACTGAGATGATTCCTACATGTATTTGGTAGGAATATGCGGTTTCTATTATAATAATAGTACCCAGGTAAATACAAATATTGTCATAATATCTATGTTCACTTATTTTTCTTCTGATATTTTTATATAACCATCTCTTTAGTCCTTTATGGCGGTGATTTTTGCCTGCACTGCTGACAGACATCATGTGACGGGGGAGGGGCAGAGAATCAGGAAACACATCGCTGCTGCAAGCCACAAGAAAGGTAAAGTCTAAACTTTAAGAGTATTTAGCTCTACATTTAGCAAGGATTGACAACACTGCCGGGTTAGATAGATAGATACTATGTTATGATGCCGTTTAATTTTTTAGGGGCAACGACAATAGTGTAAAGTATTTTTCTGACCGGAAACGAGAGAGAAAACATTTCAGATTGTGCTGCGACTTTGATTGTAACTTAATGCCTTCTCCCGCAGTCAACACTGGACTTAAATACATATAAAGACAACTTTAACCAGTGTACTAATAAGTGCCTTAGTAGTAAAAATCTATAAATGATGCACTTATCTCCCTGTCATTGGAAAGCTCATGTGATTTCCGCATTTTTCTCGTTGGCAGCCACTGTAGTAAAGGGTAACATACACACAGAGACAGGGAGGGTGCAACACGTTGAATTAAACTGAACAGTTTGATACAATTTATCATTATGCTTTAGTTAAAGCAGCAAACGTGTTTCCTTCCATAGCAATAACAGGGCTGGATAACTTATGATTTCTTGATAGATGTTGATTTACATGCTGGTCATGGTTTGAGTTCTCTTGAGTCAGTAGTAGCCTACAGGAAGTCTGCTTGACTGCACTAAAGTAAATAATCCTGACCCAACCCTGTTAAATGCTAGGCTTATATTCAAACACAAGAGCATCCACTAGCAGCGGCGTCCGTCCGTCGACCCTCATCATATAACTTGCGTGAGGCCACAAGTTGGCCAGGGACGGCCCTGATTGTAGCATGCCATAAACCCCTCTGTTTCAGCCCTGTTTCAAAAGTGCTGTTTGTGTATCTTTAAATGCAAATGAACTGCCAAACTCAACGCCCCCTACAGAAGTGGAGATTCAGGTGATAAGGTGGGCCGGTGTTACCTAGGTTGGTTAATGGCTAATGGTTGCACAACCCAAAAGAACATTGTGTCATCACAGAGTGGCCAAAATCTAATCAGCTCATTTTCAGACAGGTTTAAAAAAATAAATGGATCAGGACCAAAAGAGAGAAAATATTTTTTCCTGAAACTTTCCGAATCTCTTAACAAAGAGGGGGCACATATATGTATGTATAAATAGCATGAAAAAGTGAATTTTGCATAGGTGACCTTTACATGGAATGGGCAAGCCCCCTAGTCCCAGGTCAAGGTAATACAGCACAGCGTACAGCGAGATTAATATGATTCTAGACCAGTGCCTACTAACGCTTTCTTTTCCTTCTTTTCTTTCTTTTGTTTGATACTGACAAGTCTCTTTCGGATTAGCTTCTCATACCCCTTCATTCATAAAAAAATATGTTCAAGTTTTGTATGAAAGAAAATTACAGTTTGTAAATGAGATATTAACCGTCATGTATGGGTCTAATGTTTGGATGTGACTCTTGGCTATTTAAGCTTTTTGCTATTGCTGTTTTGTTTAAAAATTATGATACCATCCAAAGAGTTTTACACAAATAGATCATTGGACTTCACCCCACAATGGACGATCTGGGCCAATCACACGTCATGTTAAATAAAAAAACACTTGCTGTGATTCGGCGAAAAACAAATGCATGCATCGTTTCAATACTTCATACTTGGTAATATGATTGACAGCTTCAAGGTATCAAGGAATGAAACACATTGTGATAAAATAACTGTTCTGGGCAAATTGGGTACAGAAAACAACGCACCCAGAAATACAATACTCTGTCATCATCATGTTTTTGTGTTACTCCACAGCTCCATCATGGCCTACCGTGCTGGGAATCCAGAGGACCCCAGTGTTCTGGTTCAGAACATCAGCTCCAGCATCCAGAAGCTGACGCTGCTGAGTAAGACACACACTACACACACTATACACAGAAGTCTTATCGTCAGCTGACTCCAATATGTGAATGATGGCCGACACGTGGAGATACATCAGAACAGTGTGTGCACTCTGTCTTCCTCCCTAGCCTCGGAGCTGCAGAGGGCTGTTTCTACGCTGGGAACAGAGCAGGACAGCAGCAAGTTACAACAGACCCTGTGAGTTAGTGGTTTTTGGACAATAGGTCTATTATATTCAACATCTTAGTAAAAAATGCAGCTGGAGAAAAGATACACCTTAGTAGAATTTCTTTCTGAAAGTTGTCCAGTGATCAACCAAACAAAATGTAACAGTTGGTTGCGCATATTGCATTTGAAATGTAACACAGGCTAATGCTAATATTGTCAACTACTGTACACACACAGCTATGGATGTGTTTCTTCTTCAGACCAATAAACTGCTTATACTTGGTAGACTACTGAATCTTGGGTCGAATGTTATCTTCTTTATTTAACCAAATGATGTTCTTTGCTCACCAGGCAACAGAAACAGCAGCAAGGCAACCAGCTAGCGAAGGACACTGACAGACTCATCAAGGCATTCAGTGCACTTCCTGTTGGCCCCGATCAGGTGCTGAACTCTAAAGTTGCAGTCGAATTGTCAAAAAATCAGCTCCTATCGTCTTTTCCTATCCACTATTCCTTGACCTCTGTGTGAAACGTCACGGGGTTAAGGAATAGTGGATAGGAGAATTCAAAAGGACTTAGGAAAAGAGACTGCGGTGCTTTGAGAATCCGACTGCACTTATACTATCTGACGTATTTACGATGCGCCAGCGGACGTCATGAATGTGCGTCTGCTGTGGGGAAACTACAGATCTGTCTCTATACAGCGGACTACATGGATGTATACTAAGAACGGCGGACTACTGTAAACGCATCTAGATACTTTGCACTGGCAGCATTTTCTACTTTCGTTATCTCAAAGGAAGGTCCAGTGGTTCCTAAGCTAAAGGAGGTTATAAGGGAAGTTTCAAACCTCCTTTCCTATCATCTCTAGACAATTCAGCTCTTATCATGGCGGCCACTTGGGTACTTCCGGGTAATTTCACTCCGTTAGGAAGGTTCCTACACTTAACTGACAATTCGACCGCAACCTAAACCTCTCCCTTGATTTGAATTGTTCATTATTTACCTGCTTGTTCACACCGATTTCAACTCAGGGCTTTTCTGTTAACATTGTTGTTCTGTGTGTGTTTTAGCGGCAGAGAAAACTACAGAAAGAGCGCCTGGTTAATGAGTTCTCCGCCGCCCTAAACAGCTTCCAGAAGACCCAGCGGCAGGCGGCCGACAAAGAGAGAGAGTTTGTGGCCAGAGTCCGAGCCAGCTCCAGGGTGTCGGTGAGTAACCTGCTGCCTGGTCCCACGGTCACAGTTTAACGGGTGCAGGGATTAGATAATCAGTGAGCGGACAATAATCCATTTACCAAACCCTTTTTTTGGGCCATTATTATCTAAACAAACTGCAATCCTTTTCCATGTTTAAAGTTTTTAATGCACATTTTTAACAGTTTAAAAATACAAAAATGATCCAAACACAAAAGTGCAGAGGTTTGACAAACAAATGGGTAGTTAGATAAACAATTTCATCCATTTAAAATAAAGATATAAAAAGAACAAAACAACAAGCAGCATTACATCTTAGTTTCTCAAAATGTAGTTATACTGAGGTAATATAACTTCGCATTAGCCATTTATATTGCATTAATATTATCATTTTGGTGATTTTACTTATTTCACCCTTTTAAGTGAGCAGGTTTTCGGCACACAAAACACATTGATGTTATTTTCCAGGTGAATTTCTCCATGCACTCAGCAACTTAACCAAAGTAAGAAAATACATACTTAGAAAAAGTAATTATCTTGAATTCATAATTATTTGAACTTGAAGTTCACAGGAGAAGCTCTATCACTATGCAACTGTAGTCGACACCGGTTCCCTTAGGGACAGCCTGAACGCTTGGCAACTCTTACACACTGCTTATCTCTTTACACAGAAGGTTATCTGTATAGCTGTTCATGGTAATAGGCAGGAACGGTTCGTTACTGCTTTAAATGGTTGGTAAGGAATCTAAAATCTAAAATACACGTTTTATTGACTCTTTGTCCCCATGCAAACATATTTGGATGTGAAATATTGTTGAAACTTCAAACTCAATTAGGGAAGCACAGATTCAATCCCACATTGACCGCCACTGCAGTCAGCATGCCGTTGTGTCCCTGGGCAAGACACTTCACCCTAAATTGCTCCTGTGGGGGTTGTCCACAGTATGGAATTGTCTAATATATGCAATATGTAGTGTAAAGTGCTTTGAGCCTTTGGAAAAGCCTTAAATAAATACCGGTACCATGGATTATTATTATTTATACTTTTAGAGGTATTTTGATCAAGAATGCTGTACATTTTATTGCATCCAGTACACACCAAATCATTGCTTGACCCACAACCCCCAGTGAAGAACATCCTCTGCAGTATGTTTGCAATAGCAAGCCCAAAAGTATGTCTATTCAACTCTTTTAATTTCCTTGAACAGGGAGGACAGCCGGATGATGGCTTCGGAAATATGCCTCCTTTCCTTATGTAGGTCCATTATTTATTATCAATAATATAGTTTCTGTTATCATTATTACTTTTTTAATGATTGTATTGTCCCCACAGTGATTCCCAGGTGCAGGCCCAGGCTGAAGCCATCACTGAAGACGACTTGAGGCTGATCCAGGAGAGAGAGTCCTCCATCAGGCAGCTGGAGGTATGAATATAAATCAAATGTCAATGGAAGCATGGACACTTATATGTTCAATCAGCTCTTTATTTCCCTTTCACATGTTTTGGTGTCATCTCTTCTTCATTTAGTCGGACATCACGGATATCAATGACATCTTCAAGGACCTGGGGATGATGGTCCACGAGCAGGGAGACATGATCGGTAAGCTCTCATCTGACCTTAGATTTCTTCCTCTTCCTCGAATAATGTAACAACCTAAAACTGAAACACTTATTATAAGAGGAATGTGGGCTGGGACAGCATTCTTGTAAATGCCACCTTTAGTCAATGTAACAACATATTTACCCAAAACATTTCCAGAGAAACACAGTTCTTACTAAGGCACTTAAGCACAGAGGCTCAGTGCTTTCTTTTTGTTTACATACTAGTATACCCTGTAATGTGTTTTTTTGTTATTCGACTTTAAAGAGCATATAATGCCCTGTTGTATGATTAATGCTAAACAAACAAAGCTGCCTGGCCTTGCTTTGCTTTAAATAATGAACAAACAAAATGAATCCCATGACCTTGTCCAAATGATCCTTGGTGTTGACAGGGACAATACAAGTTTTTAGATTTGGACCACGTGTTCTCTCCCTTCCTCCCACCTGCGGCACGTAAACTGTGTGTTTCCTGTGTGTTGTGCAGACAGTATAGAAGCCAATGTGGAGAGCGCTGATGTGCACGTCCAGAGCGCAACACAACAGCTGGCCCGCGCTGCAGAATACCAGGTACATCTCAGATAGGACAAAGAGAAGAAGGGAGTAAGGAAAGGATCAAGGAGAGTAACTAGGAGGTTAAGAGAATTGAACTGCTGAAACAACTTCAAAACATTCATCTGCTACTCAGTAATATGTATCTAATATATATCATTCCAATAACTTGTATATAGACTCGTACTGCACTATTCCACATGCTCACTTATTTTATAACTTTATTTTATAACTATTTTTCTTTTTGTATTGCTCTTGCTATCTGTATTGTTATTATGTTGCATTGTTGGAGAAGCCTGTGACATAAGATTTTCAAAAACATAATTACTCTGTAGCTATGTCAGTTTGACAATAAAGAACCTTGAACCTTGAACCTTGAAGAGGAGAGGCATTCAAATGGGAACGGGGAAAACTAAGACACAAGAGGATCTGATTTATGATGTTGTTTTAAGTCATTTTTAAACACTTACAGTAAATCCACAATACAATAAATTCAAGATCATGTCTAATACCTATTTACAGTAGTGGAATAAGTACTTATCTTTCAATTTGTTGAAGTAGTAATTCCACAGTGTAAAAATCCTGTCTTTCAAATTCAAGTCTTTCAAAAGAATGAAAGTGTTAGCATCAAAATATATTTAGAATACCAAAAGTAGTCCTTTTTCGACTAACATATATTTGATCACTAGTTTATAATATTGATGTTATAATGTGTAAATGTGGAGCTATTTTTTATTACTAATAAATGTACAATGTAATATAATAATAACATATACTGTAGTTTATATTTCGTATTCATAACCCAAATCTGCAAAGTGACTAAAGCTATCAAACAAATGCACTGCAGTGAAAAGGATGAGATTGACCTCTAAGGTGACATAGTTCAAATAGTAGAAATATTTAGAATGTACTAAGCTACATTCCACCACTGCTTATTTATTAAATAAATAAATACTGGTCCTTTTCTTTCCCCCCGCAGCGGAGCTCTCGGAAGAAGATATGCATCCTGATGATAGTGTTGGCTGTAGTTTCTGTTGTTATCGGACTCATCATCTGGGGTGCTGTCAAGAAATGAGGGCTTCTTCTTCTTCTTCTTCTTCTTCTTCCTCTTCTTCTTCTTCTTCACCACCTTTCAGTTTGATCATCAGCATGGAGAAAGGATGAACAGCGCCATCCTTCCTCTCCTCCCCCTACTCCTCTTTTTCTCATCCCCCCTTAGGAGGGGAGTCATTGGGACTGTCTGTCTTTCTGGGACTTGATTATATTTTAAAGATGTGGCAGTCTGTATTTACAGGACTGCAAACTCCTTCACAGTGAAAACAAAACTAGCACAGGCAGCGTTATTATTCTCGACAGCTGTATGTACGCATTTGAGTCTGATTTATGCATGACTTACTGTAACTGGAAAGCTTTAAAGTTGTTGTACTCATGTGATTGAGTGTTGCTGTGTTCAGTGGCGGACATGTTGCCACCTTGTAAGTTACATAAGATTCAATAGAGACAATGCTTCTGGGTGTGATGAAGCAGCACGTGTCTGTTTTGCTGCAGCTGCTTTCTTTTATCAGGTCACATGTGAAAAACGCTTATGCTAAACGTTACTCAGCAACCAAACTATGAATCAAGTGCACTATGCAAACTTAAGAGTAAACAAAGCTAGCCTTGGTCCATAGTACAATTTAGCCAAATCGCAATCAGAAAGTTGTAATGCAGTGCTCTGAGTGCAGTTCACTCTTTATCTATTCTATCCTCTATTTAAAGTAAAAAAAATACAAAAAAAATATGTTAAATCCAATTAAAATTGCTGTAGTTCTATTTTAATTATCGATCAATTCATACTGTACATACCCAAACTAAATGTTGTGATTAAAACCTTATATTACACTCCACTGTCAGCTAGTCATTCCAAGTAAAGGGAGATGTTGTTGTTACTGTGAGTAGGGTGTTTCCTTTGAAAGTCAAGAAAAATCGTATTGAATTAAATTACATTTCACGTCCCAGACATCAATAATGTAAGTGCCAAATGTAATAGTTAAAGTTGTGGTTTATGGTTTGTTTGACCTATACAGCAGTTAGGGATAATTGTTTTTAAAGGCACTGAACATCAAACAGGTGTGTTCAATTATCTGGCTCATTAGACCTCAATGCCAGAGGTGGGCCGAAGCTATGTCGACTAGAGGAGGGGTCTAATCAGTCACATTAAGTGAAAACACCTGACAGGGCTTTACTCGGAAAAAAGTATATTTTCTTTTGACAATTCCCTACGGTAACAGTGTATGTTTCTTTATTCTGTTCATGAAGAAACGACATTTGTTGTAACCCAAACCAAAATAAGTGACAGCAAACACTAATAACACGTGTACATTTCCGATCATATGTATATTTTGTAATTAGCTGCCAACCATGTGTTGAATAAATTACCTGAATAATCTGAATTCTGTTTCATCAGCTTGTTTTTCTGATTACTACTGGACCTCCAATTACTGATTTTTTTCTTCTGGTAAGACATATAGTAAAAGCTTCTATCTCTCAAAAGTATTTAGTGAAAATGGGGTTTCATACATAGATTTATGACAGCTTCTGGCAGACAACAACACTGAGTGAAAGATACAGACTATTACCTTGATAAAATGTGTTAAATCATTTGGGATATTGTAAGTAAACAATCTCAAAAATATATATAAAATGGGTTAAATCATTTTTCTACATTGTAATGCAGAAGTTTTAAATATGATACCTTGCTAGGTGGTGCAAGACTACATTCATCTAAATACAAAAACACTGCGCATTATTCGTTTTATATTTAACATTTTGGCTATTCCACAGTGTTTCTCTGTATAGCATATTTTTTTTTACCAGCACTACAGAAACAGGTCATTCAGTAGTTAGTTTCACATTCAAAGTTACATAATTGAGAGGGAGAGACTGGCAGGTTGCTGGATGACAGTGCAGGACCTTTCACATAACCTTTTGCTTATTTATTCAGGTGCAAGTGACCCCTCAGCAACCGTTGACTACCTTACCTTTGATCCTGAAAATAGATCAAACAGCTTCGTATCCATCAGTAGAGGACAGTTAAACCTTTACCTTTGGTGATTCTGGAAAACCACATTGTTTACCTTCTGTGGGGTCAAAACATTATGTTTTTAGGCCCTGTCATAATTTGGACAAATATATCACCAAAAACAAAGAAAGCACACGTAGTGTAGTGGTTGACTTTGTTGCACAACATGTCGTTTTCGGACAAAGTGGTGTTTCTAAGCATGATATTTCCAACTGCTGTTGCGCATTTAAGACCGTCATCAACATTTTCTGCCTGTGACGCAAGAACATCTTCCTGTTTCCTTAGAACAGTACTCAGCATTTTGCATACAAGAACCGCTCAGCGTATAAACCTTGTTCATTGTACAAGCCAAAGGTAGTAAAAATCGAAATGTTACATTTCATAAACCATTTTTTTTAATCCGACATAACAAAATATACTAATGATAAAAGAGGGCCAACAATAGATTCCTGTGGTACACCTCATGAAATCTAGCCTAAAAGGAGTATTTCCACATACTGAGGAAAGTCAGTTTCAGGATGAGATGAAGGAGCCGACATGGAGTTAGCTTGTATTTGTCAGAACAGACAGTGTTGCAGTTGGATTGGGATGTGGAAGTAACAGACAGCTGTGACGCGGTAGGGAAAGCTTTTCCTTGGCAGCTAGGGATGTGGAGGATGTGGACACATTGTTGTCAATACATCACCCTCAGGCAGAGAACAGGTTGAACTGGGCGTCAGTAGGACAGGGAGTATTTTGGTCTGGTTACACACACAAAGTAGCAGGCTGCTGCAAAGAGCTAAGCAGGATTTTCCTTCCAAACAGAAATGTCCCAGCAGAGGAATGAGGAAAGTTTAACCAGGTGCAAAGTTTCTGCAGAGGAAGCAAAAGGGGCTATGAGAGACTCATAGGAAAGTATTACGTTGTATTTCAGTTGAACGTCATCTCTCATTTACATTCATTTGACTGCCTCATTTAAGAAAGATGTACAACAGCAATAAACAGAATTCTAGCAAACATGAATTAAAGCAGTGTTGTAGGTATATATAACATTTGTATGTCTCTATACTTTCTTACAAAAGTATAATGTGTCAGGGGCACCAAGGCTGTTTTTACCGCTTTAGAAAATTACAGATAATGGCAAAATGTGACTCACTGGAGGAGTTTCACTCTGCTGTGATGCACGTAAATTAGAGAAAAAAACAAATCTAAGCAAACACTGAGCTCACTGTCTAATGCGTCATAAGAAAAATAACTGGAGGAAACAAGTTGCTCTCAGTTTTCCTTTCCATGAGTAAGCTGAAAGAAGCTCTTCTTGATTTGTTATTTTAACCTTGAATCTGACTTTCTGGGGGAATTTAGAGAGGGTTGAAGCACCAATAGAATATTTAATTATGTTTCATTGTTTTCATTTCATGTCATTTGTGTGTATTTTTGAAAAGAATAGGCTAGCACCTGAATAGGTTAATGCAAACGTTATTGAAACTATGAACAATTATTATAATGGAAGAGGCACAACTCTTTTATTTAAGAAACTGAAGTATTTAGTAGTGTGCATAGTGTATTATAATTTGTACTGGTATTTAATTTAATTTAATTTAATCGTTTATTTGGCAGGGACAATGCACAATAATGAACACTTAAAACATTAAAATGTGTCAAGCGTAACAGTGCCAGATTTAGCTTTGAGCTCATTTCCATCCGCATTCCCTCACATAAAACATTTAAGAAATTTACATTTGACAAACATGGTAAAAACAAAATACATGTTGTGCAAAAAGTGCAAAAGAGCAAGAGCAGCATACACAAGTATTTATGACATGGTAATACAATGCAGCAGCAACGACATGTAAAGTGCAAGAGAAGATACAAGAGCTACCTAAAGTGCAAGAGGAGATACCCCTGTGTTAAAGTGCATTTAGCGGTGAGTGCACGTCTGTTTGTTTCTCATCCATTCTTTGAGTTGACCTTTAAAACTATTGAGAGTGGGACAATCCCGTATCTCAGTTGGGAGGCTATTCCACAATGAGCTGCCTTTAATGGAGAGGACATTTTGTCCAAAAGTGGCCCGTCTACGGTGGACTTCACAGTCTCCTCTGGTTTCTGACCTAGTGCAGCGTCCAGTGTGTTTTTTGTGGATGAATTCCCCTAAGGGAGGAGGGGCCAGTCTATGTAAACATTTATAAAAAAAACACATACTTTTAAAAGACTTAGAATTGTCAAAACTTAAGAAATTGTGTTTTTCAAGGACTGTATTTTAGTTGAAAGTTGATCAGATATGGATTCAGAAATATAAGTGAGTTTATGTGCAGATATTTACACAGCGGATTATGTGCAATTCTCCAACTAATGAGTTTTCTTTTCTTTTCATCCCAACTTTTACATTTTCCTGTAAACGGTACATTTTCCAGTCCAGTATAACATACACAGAGAGCATTGAACCCATACATACATTGAATGCAGCAATGCAGTAAAATGACTAACGAAACATACAGAACCACACAAACGTCAAATTGTGGACCCAGTAACAAACTAAGATGTTTACAAAAAATAACACGATAGAGTTCGACATGATTTATAAAAAAACCCACTTGCACTTATATATATAACATCCATTTTATACATCCTGAAATGTGCACTTGCCATTGTGTTGAAAAAAAGTCCTTTCACTGGATCATTGTAGATAATCATTGCTTCCAGCAGAGGGCAGCAGGGAGCTGCTGCCATAACCCTAATAAGCCCAAAACACACAACTACTGTATATGAGGCTATTACCTGGTTGTTATAAGTACAATTGTACAATAGGCACACAATATACTATCAATACCCACTGTTTACGATTGTACAAATGTGTTTTTAGAACTATACATCTCATATTATAGATGGATTAAAACAAGCCTTACTAAACTCCATTAGACCTATATCACATCCAGTCTTTGATCTCTTCTGAGTGAGAATCTTTGGTCCGATCCATGTTAATTAGCTTAGATCAAAGTCTGGACTGTCCTTATTAGTGCCAGCTCAGTTTCCAGCCCCTTGGCAGCAGCACCCATCATGCAGAACTGTCCTTGAGTGCAGATCAGCTAATAATGATTATCATCAGATGGAGTACTAATAGCTAGAATAGTACATTATCTCTTTTTGTTGTTGTTGCTGAAATCGTTTTACCTTGTCTTTAACTGGAATCATCTCCTGTCCTATTTCTCCTCTTCCCTCCCTTACTCTTAATAACAGCACATCCACAGTGCTGTATCTATGGCTGCAGATGCACTCACTATTTTTAGGGTTAGCTAAAGCCCACAGGATGTCAGCTCTCTTTCCATGACATCATTTAAATGTCAAAGAGCACATAATCCTTAGAACTGATATGTTATTGCATGTCACTTGTTAGACGCTTTTATCCAAAGCGACTTACATACTCAATGGACAATCCCCACAGGAGCAATTTGGGGTGAAGTGTCTTGCCCAGGGACACAACGACATGCTGACTGCAGTGGGGTTTGAACCTGTGACCATCTGATCTGTAATCTAAAGGTTGCTACATTAGTTGAATAGATACCAAACATTTTGACTGTTTGTCTGTTCAATTTAGCCTCAGTTAATAGCTTGCTTAATACAATTTAATCAGAATTTAAATACAACAGCAAGTCGTTAGTTTTGAGATTAAAAACACAGATTACATCAGTGTTCCTGTGATACATTCTGCATAACAGCCGCTCCAGAGAAAAAGTGTCCAAAAATGACAAAGTGGCTAAAAATGATCACTGTATCAATGCTTATAATACACAAAATAAAATATCTATTCATGCATTTACTCTAAGTCTGCAGATCGGCCTCACAAAGTGAAACCATTACATTAACTGTAAATGAGTGTTGTTGACATATTGAAAACGCACCTGTAACTGAGCATCACTGCCTCCATCCGTGATTCCGGACTTGTAACCCTCAGGTCCGGTCCGAATCCCCAGAGGGCAGCATTCCTCCCGGTAGCAGGAATGTCAACTTTACTTTGGAGTCAAGCTTCAGTCCAGCAGGAGGAATGCAAAGTGTTTGCTGTCAAAATGTCTTTCCCCCAAAGTACTCCCTCAGAAAAGTAATACTTTGAAAAAAGTCATCAAAAAGCTGTGGTAGAGCTGGCACTGGTGGGATGACAACTGGCAGTAGAACAGAAAAACATGCTAGTGGGTAAGGTTTTTTTTTCGATTTAGAGGCTTCTATGCGTTCTGGTAAATATTGATGTTTTTCTGAAGAGGAAGTAGCTCTCAGGTATGTGACAGGATGATCCACGCGGAGAGGAAACAGCTCCACTCACCTGCCATTTCAAAGTTTGCACACTGATGAAACCCTCAGTACACTTGCAGAGCTGTTTATTCCCTCTGCAATGACTAACAA